AGGCAGGTTTGGACAGCTTTTTTCCCTTAATAAATAAAATCATTATTTAAAAACTGCATTTTGTATTTACTTCGGTTATCTTTGTGTAATATTAAAATTTGTTTGATCTGAATCATTTAAGTGTAACAAGCATGCAAAAAATTAAATAAACAGGAAGGGGGCAAAAACATTTTCACAGCACTGCATATTTTGACAACTGTTTTAAAAATGTAATTTTGTTAGTGACAATTGTAGCCTACTTAACCTCTTAAGACCCGGCAAAACATTTTAGGAAATTTTTTTTATTTTTTTGATGTCATTACATTGTTGAGAGCATTAAAAAAAATGTATATAGTTATGCTACGTCATTGGTAGAGGACATTGGGACTCAATTTCTTTAAAAAAATAAAAAGACATGAATGAACATGCATAGGCAAAAACAATAGATTTTTTTAAAATCAGCAATACATTTTTAGTTTTCAGGATTTTTTTTTTTACCAAACTTTGTATAAAGATGATTCTCAACTATGTTATAACAGAATGATTTGATATACCATTTTTCTTCATGCAAAATGTGTGTAAAATGGCCACAAACAGGTTTTCTCATTATATATAATGTATCTATAAACCAAGTCTAATTTGCATATTAATGTGTTTTTGGGGCAACATGTAATGAAAAAAGAAGTGTAATAATGGGAGTAATATTTGACAAGATTTTCATAATAATATATAATATTTCATAGGAATATTGAAATATATTTTCTTTCCCTATTCATTTATGTCATGTCTCCCAAAATGCGTAATAAACATGCTTTTAGTCCCGGGGTCCTCATAATGAGGATGCGGGGTCTCAGGAGGTTAAGAATATTCAGAAAATATACATTAGTGTCCATCAAATTATGTGACTGTAGTCGATAATTAAATATGTAATGAATTTTGAATATACTTAATGGTTATACAATATACTTTCAAATTTTGATTTCAGCATTACATTTGAAATCATAAGAATTATAGATAGAAAAATAGCATTAAGAAAATGATTTGCAGAATTCACCCCGTTAAACAGATGTTGCAATATTTATGTACATTAATCATTTTTAAATTAAGAGCATTGTGCACTTTTTCTTTGACTGTATCTGTACAAAACTTGGGGTTTGTTTTGGATTATTTAAAAAAATAAATTTCATAGTAATACTGTTACAATATTATTTGTAATTCATACATTGAAAGGAGTTTTAAAAAAAAAGTTAAACTTTGTATACATAATTTATAAATACTATTTTACTACATAACTGGAAAATAGCGAATATTTCATGTCGGAAGTACGTCACGTAGCAAGACGCAAGTAGTTTACTGCTTCCGTGTGATTGGTTTACAGAACAATCCTACTCTTCAAGGGCTTGACCAATGAACGCTGCGAATGATATTTAAAACCCAGGCAGCCTGACATAGAGTTATTTGTATTGCTGTAGTGTTTATAAGCCATTTCGTTTGTTGTGGGAAATCCAGTACAAAGATGGGAAAAGGTAAAAAAAAAAAAAAAAAAAAGGTTTGCAAATTAGTCTGAAACACAAAGACAATCATTCGTTTAGCGAACTCGTAACATAATTTTGAGAAATAAACATTGTTCATGTACTCGTTAGGCAAAAAGTCCACTTCTGCCAAACGAAGACCTGTGGACGGCAGTATAAACGAGAAAGTAGAAGAGGCTAAAGAGAACAAAGACGGAAAAACCACGGTAGGAGACATGCGTTTGTATTCGTTCAGTACGAACTGTATGCATGATTGTTACTGAGCGATGTTGTGTAACGGTTACTAACGTTACTCGCCTTAAACGCGTTAAGAATGCATTTTCTCATAAATAAATTCATTTAATTGAATGTTTCTATTTGTCTTTCAGACATGCCAAGGGCAGCCAACAATACATAGTTTTCTGAATCTAAACAAGCCGCTCCGGAATAACCCACTTAACCTTATTTTAGACGACAATACAGCAACGGACCGTTTACCCAAAACCAGCGAACAGAGTGAAGGTATTTGTTTAAATCGTAATAACGATACACTCATTTGTCTTTATGTTTCACCCCAATTGTTTAGAGTTGGTTTTACTTACTGCTTTGTTCTTTTTATGGTTAGTCAAAGACGCAGAGCCGAATGCACCTAAAAAAGGGGACACTGACAAACAGAGCCTTATTTGTGGACATAATGAGCAGACTGATGTGCCTCATAAAGGGTCTGGGACAAGAAAGCAAACAAAATCTGTGCATGGGATAAATGGTGAAAAGTCAAAAGACAGGAAGTATGTCTAGTTTTAAATATCTAATAAATGGTTGACCGTTTCAGTCATTTATTATTTGATTTAGTTACTTATTGTGTACGTGTGTGTGTTTGCTGTTTTATAAGTAAAAAAAAAAAGTTTGTGCATCCATTTCACCGAGAAGTAAAATCTTCTTGAATTGTGTGTTTATCTTATTTTAGATCGAAAAACAAAGAGTCTGAACCCAATCGAAAGGTCACAGATTATTTTCCTGTTAGGCGAAGTTGCAGGAAAGGCAAAGCTGAGTTGAAGGTTGGTAAACTCTTCCAGAATCTGCAAGTGTTTTTTTTAAATAGTTTATTCTTGAAGTTGGCAAAATGCATGTTATAGAGCTTTTTGCGAATGATTCATTCATGTATTTTTCTTTAAAAAAATGTACCTCCATAATTTTCATACTTGGATCTTCTGGGGAAAAATGCCAGACTTCCTTCTGGTGACAAGCAAGACTTCGTCAATCATTCACGGGGCTTTTATGCAAAACAATTTTCTACAAAATTGGAAAACCTATGCGTTTGGCTATTCATTTACACGTCAACAGCATTTTGGGGGCCTGAAAATGCAGACTTTTGAAAACAGGTTTCAAAGTGCAAGTTTTTGAAAATGATACAGTTATCGTCTCTGTGTAAACTACAAAAATTTAAATTTGTGATAACGGTGACATGTCAAGCATATTAGTTTCAATCTGTAGGGATCCGTGTGAATGGGGATCATTTTGACAAAGTTGTTTTCTGTATGCGAAACGTCTCAAACGCAAAGGAAAAACTTCGGTTTTTAGTAAATAATTGTCGCGTAAATGTACCGTTACATAACACTCCACCCCTGCAAACTTTGATGGCCTCACCTACATCTCAATAACGATGCGTTGAACCAAGTCCCACTCTGCACTTTTTTCCGTTATGCATTGATGTACATCACAATACAGAAGAAAAGATATGCTACCATTTGAATTTTGCTGTGCATTTTTTAGCTCTTAAGACCCATTATTTTAAAACCAATTTACCATTGATAAATACATTTTCAACATTTGTTTACTTTATCATTCTGTCAAACATTTATTCTATTAAATTCAGAGCTAAATGTGGACGTGTTGTGTTAAAACAGTGTGAAAAGCGGCAGCACCTTGATGATCTCATCAAAAACAATGTTGAAGAGGGGCTCAAGGTAAGCTTTTTAAGCAATTGGTCTACATTTTATCTTTTCATTGCTTGGGTTTAAACATCTTCCATTTTCAAAATCAGGTGAAAAGTATTGATGGAAGAGGAAGAGGTGTTTTTGCAGACCGAACATTTCAGAAAGACCAGTTTGTAGTAGAGTACCATGGGGAATTGTTAGAGATTGCTGATGCTAAAGCAAGAGAGTCTCAATATGCTCAAGACCCAACCACTGGCTGCTACATGTACTATTTCCGCTACCATGACAAAACCTACTGGTGAGTATTTTGGTGTGTTTTTATTTTTCATAAAACAATCTTCTGGTGAGATTTTTAATCTCACTTTGACTTGATATGCTTTAATGCAAGATTTGAGGTAAACATTGCTATCTGTATGAATAGATGTGAACTCCAGAGTTTAGTCTGTTGAGCCTTTTGACAGAAAACCGTTAGTCAGCGGAGAGACCTGTTAATATATCTAATGTGTTTTTTTTTTTTAGTGTGGATGCTACCAAAGAAACTGACCGTCTGGGCCGACTGATCAACCACAGTAAGAATGGCAACCTTCGGACCAAACTGCATGAGATAAATGGCACACCTCACCTCATCTTCCTCGCTTCCAGAGACATCAAAGTAGATGAGGAGCTGCTTTATGATTACGGTGACCGCAGTAAAGAAGCTATCGCTGCTCATCCTTGGCTTAAGCATTAATTCACTCTGTTTAGTTGTCTTGTTCCGATAGCATTTAAATTAGTGGAATAACATAGACATACATTGATGTTTGGAGTTGCCAAACCGTTCACTGTAACAAATGGTATCATAAAATGAATTGTGTGGGGTTTTGAAAGAACCACAGCAACTGTAAAATTGGTTTTTAAATGATTTTTACATCCTAGTTGCTTTTTTTTTTGTTGGGTGGACTATTAATTTTAATAAGGCATGTATAAGAATACCAGCCTCTGATTTTAAATATACGAGAATATTCAAATTGGTGTAGTTACTGTACATTTGTATATGCAAAATTAAGAGTTTAATCGCAAAGCAATTATACCACATTAAGAAATTTGTTGGTTTTGAATCCTTTGTCTTAAAATTTTATAAGGATTTACAACATTACAGAAGCACAGAATATAAACCATATGCTTTATTAATGTTGTACAAAAACATTTCAGCTGCACAAAACTTTGCATGATGATTGTTTTTAGACCGTTTCTTTTAATCACAAATACATTTATGATTGAAATAAATCTTCAAAGCATAACATATCAAATGTTATACTATAAAAACATGACGACGACTGTAATTCCAATCAGAAGAGTCTAAGGCCTTAAGTGATACACTTGCTTATTTTTTATACTGCATCTTGCTGCAAGAAACCCGTCAGGCACCACCATGAAATAGGACCAAAACACTAGAAAACTGGGTCCTGTAAACACAATTGAATGAATTTATATTACTGGTTGTTAAAATATAATTCAGAGAGCCATTAAACTAAAAAAAAAACACACAAAAAACTTTGACAAAAGCTATTTATTACATTTCAAACACATTAATAACACATAAAAAAAATAAAAAAAAAACATTTATAAAGGATACTGGAAATATAGGACATAGGAAACATCCAATACACACAAATAAGGGAAAGAACAGCAACAGACACACATGATCAGAAGTTTGATTGATTGGAAAATAAAAACTAGGGAAATTAATTTAAGAGGGCCAAATATAGTTTAAATAATTCAATCTTATGTTGTTATGCAACTACACGTTAACTCCAGTAATCTATGTACAAACAACAGGGCCCATGTACTGAGAACAGCATTTTTAAACACCTTAGTATTGCAGAAAAAACTTGACACTGCTGTCAAAAAAATTTGTCCAGTTTATTACTTAATTACAATAAATACTGCGAGCCAATAAAAGTGAATTTTTACATTAATATGGCCCACAATTTACCACTTCACATACCTTAATGAGATTTAGTGCACTACACATTACCTTATACAGCAGCCTTTTTGTGTTTTAGTTGAAGTACCTCAATTTTAACCTTACAATTCCTAGTGATCCTTAGTTTATTAAAATGAAGACTAGAAAGTGCATAATCATATGGATAGTTTCTGTCCTAAAGCTTGTCAACACCTGCAACAGCTACAGTCTGAAGATGTTTTCTAATTCAGTAAGCTCACAAATAAGGCCTTAGAGCCTCATATGGCATATAAACACCAAATCAGTGTGTTTCAGCTTATTTAATTAGGTTTAGTACTGTCACCAAAATAGTCCCTAAATGTTTCATTGTGCTATTCATAAAATGACTGATATAAAATTGATTCTAGTAATGTCATATTACAGTAAAAGATACTGTGGAACAATGTTAATGAAAATCTAGTGTGTTTCAAATAGTCTGCAAATGTATATTAGCTAAGCGAGGTGTTTAGAGGGTCATTTGATACTTTGATATCTTGTCATTCATGTTTGAATTCACACTCGATGAACAAAGTGAGAACTGTCACAATCACGGAGTTAAAAATGTACACAATTAAAAACACTGAGTAGGAGCAAGGCGAAGGATTTCCAGACAGAAATTGGAAGTATTAAAAAGATCACTTCTTCCCATCTCTCCTCACCCTGTTGGAAGGGTTGCTTGTCTCAAATGTGTTTTAGTTTGTGCTAAATCCTGGTAACTATTTTTGCCGAAATGAGAACCTGAAAAACAGAGAGACCGTTTGTCAGCAACATCGACACACAGAATCATAAAATATGGTCAATGTTACAAAGACCTAGATAAGATCTAATACAGCATTCTTATTTAGAGCAGAAAAGCTTTAGAAAGAACAGCTTAACACGGCTTAATGCAGTTGTGGACATACCGAGCACCTGTGTGGACTTTAAGAAATCTTTGCCAATTACAAAAGAAATGTCATAAACATACACTTATTATACATATTATCAATATTAAACATTATCAAAAGTGCCAAAGTTGGAAGACATTAATATAACAGAACAGATACAACAATAGAATGATTATCTCAAACTAACAAACAAAGATTTTCTCTTCAATACCTAAATATCTTCAGGAGTTTTTCCTTTCTACATCCATTTCTGGCTTGCTAACTGGACACTCAAAGACATTAAAGCACATTATTTGTGAATCTATTGACACTGAAACATATACCTCTGTAAAGCTGCTTTGAAACAATATATTTTGTATGATTTTGACAAATGTATAACTCAAGGTAGAAGGGTAAACTCCACTGGGCAGGACTCCAGACCTGCTGCACCTTCCAGCTACTGGAAACGCCACTCACATGAGTAGTCAATAGACTTGTGCCGGTATTCGGTAATGCGGTATATCACGGTAATGCATATGCACGATATTGTTATCGTGGGCACTTCTAAATACCGTGAATAATTATATATTACAAATTATTCAGAATTTTGAATGCATTTTAAGAATACTTTTCCCATAAACTGGTCAAAATGCACAACACCGCTGTATGCTGCCTGAAAGAGGCCTGGGCACTCTGATATAAACAAGCTTGTTATAAGAAAAAAGTTATTAAACCTGTTATACTGTATTATGACAGCACTTTTTTTTTAAAACTTAATTTCAATATCGTGATAACACCGTATACCGTAATAAAAGCATTAGCAATTAATCGCAACATGAAAATTTGATACCGGCATATCCCTAGTAGTCAATAAATGAAAAAAGGTACAGAAATTCTACAAGACACAACAGGCTTACAGGTACACACACCTGCCTTACAATACTGGCATATGTATTTCCACTGACATATTCCATTAAATCAGACTGATCCATTTGTCCCCCCAAGAAGTAATTGTTGTGTCAAAAAGAGTCTTGAATATGTCATTTCTAAATGTTGTAACTAAATATTTGAACTAAAAAGTAATTTATTTAAGATTAAAACAGTATATCAGCCAACTCCTACTTTTCGGCTGAATAAACGTATAAGTATAATGCTTTGAATATCAAAATGACTGATCTGGGGTGTATTCCAGAAAGGAGGTTCAACAAACTCTAAGTTAAAACTTGAACTCTGAGTTGACTTACCCTGAGATGGGAAACTCTTGAGTTTTCGGTTTCTGAACAGCTGAACAGAGTTAGTTCAATCCATTCTGAGTATGTTGACTATGAGTTTAGCGTATGCACCACGACTTTGAAAAGCCATGATCAATGGAGCTCCAAAATTATGATTCACCATGGCAACAGCACCGACAAAAAGACTTCAGCATACTATGCAATATGTAATTCTTAGGCCCAATCCCAATTCTATAAAGAAATGTTTGCAAAAAATCGCTAAAGTTTGCTAACGTCATATCATTATAGACTGCACGATAGTGCCAGAACATAAGTTCATGTCTGATCAGGGCAATAACCACCATAGACATTGAGGAGGGCTAGTCAATCAGTGTATCATGCGATCATTCGTTTTTTTATTTAATATTGAAAGTAGAAAAATTTGAAAACGGCTCCTTTTTCGTTTTTTTCCAAAAAACGAAAAACGAGAATTCAGCTTAAATTTTGACGTATAGTAGTGGTGTCCCAATTCTTTGGGGAATATTTTCACCCCTACCCCTTGACACTCTGTTTCAAGGGACAAGGGGAAAGGGTAGGCGAAGGGGAAGGGGTATAAAATAGAATTGGGATTGGGCCTTAATCACTGTTATAATATCAGAGGTGAAAACTGGCAGAACGGTAAGTTGTTGAACTAATCTTCATTTTCGTGGTATCCCACGGGCAAAAAAGAAAAAGAAAAATGTGGCAGCAGAAAAAAAAATTTAACATAAAAACATAATTCAAGCAGGTAAAGCTTCAAGTGTAAAAGGTTCATGGGTGTAGGCTACATGACTTTAAAAACATTTGACATATTCAATAAATATCATTCAGTGTCTATTTCAATGTGCAGTGGCTTTTTCCACATAGTCTAATGCTCTTTGAGGAGATGGCCACAATACCAATATTAAAATCCAACAGGGAAAAGTATAAGTGTTGCTTTGTATTTGTAGGCAATAAAGATGACCAAATTAATTGTGAATAATTTGTGTTTATTTAACAGCTGTGGTGGTGGTTACAGCATATATCTCACACTACCCTTCCATCAGGCATCCTTCCATTCAATACAGTAATCAGTTTCATTTTCGGAAGGTGCGATGATGAGAATGTGTGTAATCAATGCATCCAACCACACTGGAAAACCTAAAGGAAATTCTAATTATTAGGTTACTTTCAGAGGTCGCAGCAAGATGTTATCAAGTGAACGTCATTTAAAAGTGTTATCGCTCTAATAAACTTTGCATGTGGATATGGCAAAATAAAATAAAATCCTGATGTAGGCCTAAATGTAACTCCCCGCAAATTAATGCAGCCTCCTCATCTACAGGATCCCGTGTAAAAAGACATGCCATTTTTTGTCACATTTACAGTGTCTGCATGATGAAAATGAAAGTGGTGCAGTGAGAAAAAATTATCTTGCTTGCATTTGCATTAAGATTATTTTTCTTACCCCACTGGCAGATCATTTTACTCGTTTCCCCCAGGAAACAAGACTAAATATCGTATTATATAAAATGCATCTTGATTTAAGAATTTTTAGATATTTATAGGCTACTTGAAATAAGGCAAAAAATCTCAGCAATAAAAGCATTTTTGCTGCATGAATGAATAAATGAATGAGGTATTTAAACATCGCTTACGCTTTAAAAAGGGGGAGGAGACCAAATGAAACTCTGGGTTTACTGAAGAAAACCTGCTCCCGACCGACCAAAAGTTAGGTTCACACTATGGTAACTTACCGAGAGGTTTAGTTTTGTCTTATATTGGAACCGAAAACTCAGAATTGACCTTTTCTGGGGTTAGCAGACTCCCACTTTCTGAAAAGCACCCCTGAAATTGCACAAAGCTCTGACAAAGACAAAACTATTTAAAAGCACTCACAGTTTCTGAATGGTGCTCTTCTCTTTGTGTTCCTCTATATTGGTGGAGGGTGCAGGTTCTGACTGAGGAAGGGTCTCCAGGTTTACTTCCACCATCTTCTGTTCGGAGCCCAGGACTCCACTGCAAGCACAGTAGATGCTAAATTTGACTGAGACCACCACACATATCAAATTAATTATTGCATGATGTCATTTCTCTCAGAATTGTTTTATTTGCTGTTGAGATTAGGACAAACCAGCACACAAGTCAAAAATTGTCCTGTTTTTTGCACCAATTTAGAACAGAACACACTGCATCATGGAATAACTCAAACACAGCAGTTTACTAATCTATAGTAACTAAAAGAGACATAAGGTGAGTTAGCAGCACTGAAACCAGGTTTTTTTTTTTTTTTTTACCTCTTGTAGAGTTGTAGTTCCTCTTGGGCCACCAACAGCTGGGCTTTAAGTTTGTTTCTCTCTTGCAGAACCTCCTTTAACTCCTGCATGGTGAATCGTGGTCGGTTTGGGTCTTTTAAGTCCACAACTAGTTTGTTTGGACCAACAGCCTGCTTTAAAAGAATAAAATATTATATATTGCCCGAAGTATAAATAAATGTTTGCACAAACTAGAAATAGACTCTGGCCTTCTAATCAAGAAACATTTGCTGTTAAGTTTTTAAATAAGTCAAATATTAAGTCTTACTTGTTACATAGCTACAAGATTAAGACCATTAACATGCATTAAGAAAATAAATAGGGTTCATTTTTATTTCATGCCAACGTTAACTCTATAGATGACTTTTTGGGGTTCCCACTTTGAGTTCCGCTCATAAGCAATATACAAAATTCAAAGGAATATGTTGATGGCATTTTACCACTCATTCCTTTTTTATTTATAAAAAAGCAAAAATCTGGGTTAGAATGAGGCATTTAGAACGGAAGTAAACAGATCCAATCCTTAAATCTTGAAATACTCAGTTTCAATAGTAGAACCACAACAATAAACCCTAAAACGACTGTAAAAATAATGATTTAACCAGCTTTACAGTTCAAGTAATACAAAAGTTTTAACAGAACAACTGATGCAAGTGCTGCTAAGTTTCACATTTGTGTTTTTAAAGGAATTGTTAACCCCAAAATGATGTTAATTGGTGGACTGGAGTGGTGTGGATTATTGTAATGTTTTTATCAGCTGTTTTGAAGGCACCCATTCATTGCAGAGGATCCATTGGTGAGCAAATGATGCAATGCTATATTTCTCCAAATCTGTTCTGATGAAGAAATAAACTCTTCTACATCTTAGATGGCGTGAGGGGGAGTAAAATATCAGCAAATTTTCATTTTTGGGTGAACTGTTCCTTTAAGGTCTCCAAAATTGGCCCCACTCACCTCCATTGTAGATTTTTTAAAAGTTGGATGAGTTAAAAAAAAAAAAAAAAACAAGAGTGATAATCAACATTATGGTGTCGAGTCTGTCGACTGAGCTTAACTTGTATTGAACCGGAAATATTCCTTTAAAAGGAACCCTGTGAACAGCAGTCGGAGCATCAAGAATGATGCACATACACTGAACTCCACATGAACCCACTCACATTGTTAACATTACCACTTGAACCTTCTGCTACAACTCTTTCCATTTCTCGCTTCATATTATCCAGCTCCATCCTCAGCTGCTCCAGCGACAGGTTATACTTATTCACCATGGTCTCAAACATCTCCAGCACACGGACGATTTTGAACTGTAAATCCGAGAATTCCCGGCTACCTGTGTTGACTTTCAATAAATCTCTGCCGATCACGTAAGAAATGTCATAAACATCTTCAACAGTCATTTCCAAAACGTCCTTATCGAAAGCCTGCATGGGTGAACTTTCGTGCCGTCCTTCCATTCTGATCCAAGACGTAATCACTGTTTTAAAAAAGTAATCTTTCCGAGATATGGCGATTTACAGTTCACCGTCCCAATGCATTCACAAATGATCCGACAACTTCCTCTTCCAAACTGGATCCTCTACTTTACTGCAATTTTGAGCGCTTGAGTGACGTGTAAACCAGCCAATGGCTGAGTCGCTCAGTACAGTAGGCAAGACTGCCTGAGAACTCTGCCGACAACTGTGAAAAAATGTGCCTAGTTCAGTATGAAAACTTTTATTTTGTTAAAAATGTATCAACTTTTCTCATAGTTTCAATACCCAAACAGACCAAATGTGACAAGTGGCAACAAATAAATCCCAATATCATTATCATCATTTTATAGGCCTATTGGAATTCATATTGGAAACATTCCATTTCAGATTAATTCAAATTACATTGCCAAGATGCACAATTTTACCAGTTTAGTTAACGGCATTTTTTCCCCAAGAAAACAAAATTATTACGATTAATTTGCCTTTTAGATAAAATGTTATGTAGTGTGGCAAGATGACTTCCTTTCATATTTTTCTTTTTTGTGCCATTACAACTAAGTTTTATATTGTTTCCATTTAATTCCCGTAATGTATTGTGTGTGTGTGTGTGTGTGTGTGCTGGGTGATGCATAACTATCCTCTACACATGCTAAACTTTACCCCTTAACTGTCACCCCCCATTTTTTAAAATAGGCATGCAGGTGCACTATCCAAACTTAAATTGTTGTAATTTATGAACACTTTGGAATACAGACATAATTTTGGTCTCTTTTTAAAGAAGAAACTCAGCAGATTATCGCAAAAGTGGAATTAAAAAAAAAATTTAAGTATCAACGTAATGCATTTTGTAATATGACACTTGACACCGCCCACTAAGGGGGAGGAGACCGCCAAAAGATTTTAAAGTACCATTTCCATGGTAACGCAATGTCCGATTTCAAAATGGTTTTCACAGGATGAATCTTGAGCTTTCAAATGATATATGAGTTATGATGATTACTAAAAGATTTGATAGAGAAAAAGGACAACAAAAAAAGAGTGCCAAGCGTCCCACGGGTGGGACGGTGACAGTTAAGGGGTTTGTATTATGCCTACAGTTCACGGGCATTGTTTTTAATTGGAGATTCTTCCCCATCTTACCCTACACATATATAGGGGAGATGAGAGTATATTCTCGCTTATAGTGTGCATTTACTGCTAAATCATAACATATCTAGAGCTGATTTTTAGCATGATAATATCCAGTGTGTTAAATGACGAAATAAATACGCTTGCCGATTTGGTTTTAATTGCACAAAGTAAAAAAAAAAAAAAAAAGCACAAACGTAGCCTATTTATTTATTTATGCAGAATATATATATATATAAAATACATCTGGTATCACTTTTATTAATATTTCTGAAAAGGGTAAAATATTCAATCAACTATATTCTGTAATTTTACAATTCGGTTGAAACTGAATGACTACAAAATTCATGTAAACACATTTAAAAGCACCATTCTATGAATTATACAGTTGTGCCAAGTTTACACCCCGATGTCTGTCACTGAAAAAATAAAAATAAATAAGACTGCTTTTTAAAAAAATTAAGTACTGAATAAGATTTTTCACAGATGTTTACATATATGCTAAAACACAAAATAATACCTGAATGTACAAGATTATATGGTTCGTAAGTTTCTTCTTGGTGTGTCTAGTGTGTGTAAATCCACTGTGTGGCAGTAGATGTTCATTTTGTCTGGTTTCAGGTCTCATCACTGCTCTATCGGGACTCCTCGACTGGTCTTCAAGGAGAAGAAGGGTGGATGAATGCTCACTGATCTTCACTGAAGCGTGTGCTGTTTTTTTACTCTGTTCCAGACTGCTGTGTTTTTGTGTATTGATTCAAGTTAATTATGTGCTGTGTAGATTTAGTCACCATATTGGCTGTTTAAACATGCTATTGTGTTGACAGTATAGCTTCATCTTTATTTTTTGTTTATTGTTGGATAATTATTATTTATTGTTGGATAACTCTGGTTGTTGTTTTTTTAAATGAAAAGCTTGACCATTTGGTAGCTGCTGGTAATTTTTGGCAAATCCAACATCTTCACACATTTCACTCCTAACAGTGCCTGTTGAGATGTGACATTTTAACTCATGACATTCAGTGATGCTCAAGGCAAGACTTTAAAAAGTTTCCATGACCTCCAGACTTGGACATTGTAGTTCAGTAGCTAAAGGTGGATATCCTGATGTGATAAATAAGCTATAAAATAAGCCATTGACTTCCATGGCTACCTTCATCTGTTTGGTTAGCCTACTAACATTCTTCAAAATATCTTCTTTTGTGCTCAACAAAGGAAAGAGACTCATACAGGTTTGGAACAGCTTGTGGTTGAGTAGCCCAAATGATTAGGCTACAGAATTTTCATTTTTGGGAGAACTATCCCTTTAACCCTCTGGTCCTCTTCGTTTGGGAGTCACACTTGGCTCCTTCACGGTCAAAAGTGACCGATGCCTTGAAATGTAACTTCCTTTTTTTCTTCAGGAAAATCAATTTAATACATTTTTGTTAAATAATATTTTTTTATTATTATTTAGGGGATTTTAAGATATTATGCAATATTTATACAATTTTAATTAGCTATTTTTCCCCACAATAATTAATATATTTTTATTTAATAAATTATTATTTTCCAATAAATGGATTCCCATTGTTTTTTTTTTAGACATAATTTCTTCATTTTATTAGGTTTTGCTTTTAGATATATATTTAGACATTCTAAAAGACTACTTTTTGTCAAGGTTTAGATATTTTTGGTTAGATAAATATCAGGTTTTGCATTATGATTCCAATCAAACATTGTATGTGTGTGTGTGTGTGTGTGCGTGGGTGTCTATTTTGCACTCTTTATATTTTAGAGTGTCACCCCTTGATTGCTGTGCACTTTTTTTCTGCACCGTGGGTGATTTGTAGTTTGTACCACCAAAAGAGTCTCTGAGTTGTATTTTTTAGTATTGTATTTCCCATTCATTTCCTATGTCGATCATTTTTGACCGGGAAGGAGCCAAGTGTGACTTTTTTTTTTTTTTACCCTTTAACATATCCGAATCATGTCCATGATTTTTTTGTGTGTTCACATAGCTAATGCAACAAAAGTCACCAAGTGTCATCTCATTCCGATGAAGCTACGATTTTTAAAATGTCAAAATATAATTTTTTTTCGAATTTTTGACCGAAGAGGCCCAGAGGGTTAATCATACAGTTCAATCAATATTTTAACATAGGTACATGATTATTGATATGAAGTTTTATGTGTACAGCCAGAGGAGAATAGGTCCCCTGGTGTGTAACCCGACCAGGCGCCTTGTAGTCACTCAACCGGTGCAGTCCTCCTCTGAGACGAGTCCACACACTTTGGTGACGTAACGCGTAGTCCTCTGTGAGAGACACACTGCGCATGCTCAGTATCCTCCTTGTTCCAGAGGGAATCATCGAGCGCCTTCATTGCTGGCGACATTCTCTACAGTTCATGAGCTGAAGTCAGTTCCTCTGCGATCCTCGTAATGGACTCTCAGAAAGTAAGTGGCAAACAGTTAAATTAATTATATAGTATCGAAAAGCTGAAATGTCTCAGCGGCCCATTGTGATGGAATCATATTACTCTATCATGTCGCTTTTATACGCAGCACCGTTAATAATCGTCCGGCTCTGTATAGACTGCTTTACATTCATACCAATGAAACGTAAAACGAATGCTATATTCAATGTAGGTGTCAACTGGTCTTGAGGCCTTTATGAATTGAGTCCACACACTTTGGTGACGTAACGCGTAGTCCTCTGTGAGAGACACACTGCGCATGCTCAGTATCCTCCTTGTTCCAGAGGGAATCATCGAGCGCCTTCATTGCTGGCGACATTCTCTACAGTTCATGAGCTGAAGTCAGTTCCTCTGCGATCCTCGTAATGGACTCTCAGAAAGTAAGTGGCAAACAGTTCAATTAATTATATAGTATCGAAAAGCTGAAATGTCTCAGCGGCCCATTGTGATGGAATCATATTACTCTATCATGTCGCTTTTATACGCAGCACCGTTAAAAATCGTCCGGCTGTGTAAATAGACTGCTTTACATTCATACCAATGAAACGTAAAACGAATGCTATATTCAATGTAGGTGTCAACTGGTCTTGAGGCCTTTATGAATTGACATTGGCGTTTTAAAAATAGTGTTTGACCTGTAGCTGTAGGCAGCTATATTCATGAAGAGGATTTATATTAGACCGAATCTGGCACCCATGTGTTTTGTGTTGCCGGTTGTAAAAATGTTACCTTAATGTCCCGTGTTACGTTACATTGGACTGAGCCCTTGTTACATAACACGAATAGGCTATATTCTGTGCTATACATAAATTACAGTAGCTCAACGTTGTGCCCCATTCTGTAAAATGTGTTGTTATGTTGATGAACGATACAGATTATATAATGAGAGAGTAAAATGACTAAATATTAACATTTAACCAGCATTACTGAAAATACAGGTTGCATAAGTGTAGTAAGTATGCCATAGGTTTTTGTAATTGCAGAGCACCTGCGCTCCCATGTTTACTCAGTAAAAGTAGATAAAGAGAGGGGAAGTGACATCAGGCAGGAATAAATAACAGTGTGCACATGAACAGAAACAGATCTCTAAACACACATAAAATTTAATTCCTGCTTACTATGCTATTCTTCCACATTATGTTATGATAGCTGTGATAGACCTTTGAGGAGGCAGTCAAAGTCATCTTTGTCTTGAGTGTTTGCATAGGTGTGTTGCATCTCTGTATATTAGTGAATGTTCCTACTCACCTTGGCAGTATTAAATGCAAGTCATGTTGAGAAGTTTAACATGGTGTGTAATGACTAATTATAATGCAGTAATTATTATGCAGCTTCGTTGTGGTCATGCTTTTATTATTGAATCAATTGGGAGAGTATTGTATATAAATAACCCTGGAAATACACACATGTGCATTTTTGCTGTATCTGGGCTAATCGAGGAAGGGGATAGCACACAATCTGAGTGCAATCTGACTGTATTGTCAGGAAGTGGGTCATACCGTTGTGGGTCTTCAAAGGAGTCAGATTTCAAAGGCGATGCAGGGTGTAACATTGGACTTTTTAACGGGTGGCCGTTCTATTCACCTGCAACTCAAAATCCATCTCATCTGGAGTCCAGCAGTCAGAGGAAGCATGAGGGGATCAGATTGCAGCCCCTGAAAGTTAGATCAGGTTTACCGGCCTCCATAAACTCCTTAGTGATAAAGTGTAAGCATGTGAATCTATTACAATGGTGGATCTTATTGTTTGTTGGTTTCTACGTATGCACTTCAGGTTGTGGATCTGGGGTGGTCAAAGAGCAAATTACAGATAGTTAGAACCAAATCTGACTTATATGTCTGAACTAGGTCAGCTATGCCCTCTCATGTTTCCATTTGCAGTTGGCTGTCAATAGTTTTGTGCTGCAAGCTGCAAGCTGAATGTAACAGACAGACAGTTTCAAGTGTGTGAAATCTTTAGCCATTTTAAAACTCATCTGAATGGCAAACATCCTCAACAGATCGAGACAAACACCAGTGCCAATATTCCTTTAAAGGGCCTGCTCACATGATGTTTATTTGGTTATTTCTTTGTTCTTCTTCACACATCACATGTCTCATTGTCTCATATTTCATCTCAAGCATGTTCCTCACTACAAGATCTGTCACAACTTCTCTTTCATTGCGACTTTAAACATGTAATTGTGGGTATTTGGTAACACTTTATTTTTATTACATGTTACATGTACTTACTATAGAACTAACAGTAGTTTATGCATAATTCCATGCAACTAACCCTAAACTGTAATCCTAAACAATATGGTAAGTAACAGACTTGCTCTCCTCAGGAGTATTAAATGCAAGTCATGTTGAGAAGTTTATCATGTTGTTAGTTAATATTGCTCTGTACTTAATTCTATAATTAAACTGTAACAAGGACATCTTCAAATAAAGTGTAAACAAATATTTTTACGATTGATTTCCATAGTTGAAGATCAAAAGTTTGGGTCTGACACGAAGGCAGAACAATAAAAGCATCTGAAGAGTAGCAAAAGTGTAGGATGAAGGCATAATGAAAAATTCAGTATTGCTATAGATACTGTGTTCTTCATATAACAATAAATTAAATTAAAATCCCTTCATTTGAGAAACACAATTTTGTGATTTTGTGTTGATTTCACCTATAATGGTTTGTTGATGAGCACTAATGGTACGCTTTTAGAATAAGTTCAGATTCATCTTGTGCATTCCTAGCTGTGATAATGACAACAACAGAGTTAATTACTTGTGTTTTAGGAAATGCAAGCTGGGACAAACCCAACGAATGTAAAGGTTGTGTATTTGATGTGTCTATGTGATTGGAGTCTGAATCTGAGAGCAGTCTCTCTGAAGTCTGGATTAGGCCCAGAAGCCTTTATCCTTAACTAGCACTCTCTCCTGGACACGGACTATAGAGTGTGGTGTGGATTTGAGGGAATTAGGGACCGTCTGACCAAAATAGTATGCTCCACGTCATTCAGTCTCGACCCTATGGTTGACTTTGTGTATGTGTCTGTACACTGCTTGAAAAATTGTCATCTCTGTGAAGAGGGTTTTTTATTAACCTCTGTGAATGTTTATCTTTTTGCGTTTTATATTGGGAGGAAATAGTTGTGCGTGGTACCTCTATTATAATGTACTAGTTGTGCAGGACATTATAATAGAGTTATATTGTGGCATAGCCTAGCGTATGAAGTAGCCTACATTTCATATTTTGCTTGTGCTACCTTTTCATGCTGTCCTGGCTTTTTGCATAACAGTGTGATCTCCAACATTCATAATTTCATTAAACTAAACAACTGGCTACCTCAGCAAAACAATTTCGGAGAAATATGTGAAAGTTTGCAAATGCAGATTCACACATCTGAAAATATTTCGAAATTTGTGAACGCACATGCGTATTTATTGTTTTTCGTTTGTACATTGTATTGTGTGCATTTGAGTATGTATTTTTAAATCTTTTATTGTAAACATATCTATACTGATTATATGTTTAGTATAGCATATAGGTATTTTATATTTAAGAAATAAATCATGAGTTCATTGAGAGTGATTGTAGTTTATGCATAATTCCATGCAACTAACCCTAAACTGTAATCCTAAACAATATGGTAAGTAACAGACTTGCTCTCAAGTCATGTTGAGAAGTTTATCATGTTGTTAGTTAATATTGCTCTGTACTTAATTCTATAATTAAACTGTAACAAGGACATCTTCAAATAAAGTGTAAACAAATATTTTTACGATTGATTTCCATAGTTGAAGATCAAAAGTTTGGGTCTGACACGAAGGCAGAACAATAAAAGCATCTGAAGAGTAGCAAAAGTGTAGGATGAAGGCATAATGAAAAATTCAGTATTGCTATAGATACTGTGTTCTTCATATAACAATAAATTGAATTTAAATCCCTTAATTTGAGAAACACAATTTTGTGATTTTGTGTTGATTTCACCTATAATGGTTTGTTGATGAGCACTAATGGGACGCTTTTAGAATAAGTTCAGATTCATCTTGTGCATTCCTAGCTGTGATAATGACAACAACAGAGTTAGTTACTTGTGTTTTAGGAAATGCAAGCTGGGACAAACCCAACGTAAAGGTTGGTTGTGTATTTGATGTGTCTATGTGATTGGAGTCTGAATCTGAGAGCAGTCTCTCTGAAGTCTGGATTAGGCCCAGAAGCCTTTATCCTTAACTAGCACTCTCTCCTGGACACGGACTATAGAGTGTGGTGTGGATTTGAGGGAATTAGGGACCGTCTGACCAAAATAGTATGCTCCCCGTCATTCAGTCTCGACCCTATGGTTGACTTTGTGTATGTGTCTGTACACTGCTTGAAAAATTGTCATCTCTGTGAAGAGGGTTTTTTATTAACCTCTGTGAATGTTTATCTTTTTGCGTTTTATATTGGGAGGAAATAGTTGTGCGTGGTACCTCTATTATAATGTACTAGTTGTGCAGGACATTATAATAGAGTTATATTGTGGCATAGCCTAGCGTATGAAGTAGCCTACATTTCATATTTTGCTTGTGCTACCTTTTCATGCTGTCCTGGCTTTTTGCGTAACAGTGTGATCTCCAACATTCATAATTTCATTAAACTAAACAACTGGCTACCTCAGCAAAACAATTTCGGAGAAATATGTGAAAGTTTGCAAATGCAGATTCACACATCTGAAAATATTTCGAAATTTGTGAACGCACATGCGTATTTATTGTTTTTCGTTTGTACATTGTATTGTGTGCATTTGAGTATGTATTTTTAAATCTTTTATTGTAAACATATCTATACTGATAATATGTTTAGTATAGCATATAGGTATTTTATATTTAAGAAATAAATCATGAGTTCATTGAGAGTGATTGTCCTCTCAATGAACTAATCCCTCAGCTTGCTTAATCATGGCATTCTTCTCTCTCACAGCGTCTGATCTGATAAGCATTTACTCCTCTCTGTAATTCATGCATATTGGGTTTCTTCGACCAACCTTGTGATCTCCAACATTCATAATTTCATTAAACTAAACAACTGGCTACCTCAGCAAAACAATTTCGGAGAAATATGTGAAAGTTTGCAAATGCAGATTCACACATCTGAAAATATTTCGAAATTTGTGAACGCACATGCGTATTTATTGTTTTTCGTTTGTACATTGTATTGTGTGCATTTGAGTATGTATTTTTAAATCTTTTATTGTAAACATATCTATACTGATTATATGTTTAGTATAGCATATAGGTATTTTATATTTAAGAAATAAATCATGAGTTCATTGAGAGTGATTGTCCTCTCTGCTGAACTAATCCCTCAGCTTGCTTAATCATGGCATTCTTCTCTCTCACAGCGTCTGATCTGATAAGCA